TGCGGGTCCCCGCGGGTCCCCCCCTCCCCGGGGAGGCATTTGCTGTGCTCTCCTGCCACCCCCCAAGCACGGTCCGGCTGACTGGGTGCGGGCCGCCGGGTAGCGCGGGCTGCTCGGCAGGATTCACGCCAAGGAGGAGATTTTTAAACGTAAATCTATGCATGCAGTTAATAAACTTGCTCAGCGTCACGGCAATTTGCAACGGTTTAATCGGTTTTGTGAATTGCCGCGAATTTGGTAGGGCTGTTTCCACTCGCGTATCTTGGCAGATACCTACGGTCACCCGCAAACGCACGCTGTGTATTTACACAGTCCCGAGCAGAATCCTACAGCACAGACCGATCACAGCACGTTAAGAGCTTACTGGGTACGCTATGTACGCCTAGGACACAGTTAATATAGGCAAAACCAGTGATAAACTTCAATGGGAATTCTCAAAGAAAAAACAGCCACCCCCACCACAAAACAAGTCAGGAATATCGTAGCGTGTGTGTGCATGTGAGATGTTGAGACGATGGACTACAAATAATGAGTGGCTTACCGTTAATTTTTCTTTCGGTATGTCCCCCAGGAGCACCGAGAATGCCTGTCCAGAGCTGCCGTAGTGTCGAGGAGTTGCTGGAGTGAGTCTCCAAAGAGTGGTAGAGGGGGATGCAGCTCTGTCCTTATTAGTCTCACACGGCGTGACCCTCCCACTCAGCACAGAACACTCTGCAAGCAAGGACCAACAGCCACCCAGACACAGATTTTACATAGTCATACTTGTATATCCGAAGTCCAGTAACAGCGTAAGAAATGTTTTCTTTCTCCTACCCCCTGCGCTTCCCCCCAAAAACCCACCCAGTTCCATAAATTAAACTGCCAGAATATGAACGCATGAATAAAAGAGTATCTGGTTTCTAGTTGTAAAGCGCCAATTAAGTACACCGGCAGAAACTAGCTTTTATCACTTAAGTGTAAGCACACATCATTAATTTTATATCCTTTATCATAAATATAAAAACCAGCCACACAAGTAACCAAGAGACTGCACCTATTTACGGCACCGATGCTGCAAAGCACAGCAGATTATTGAGATTTGTTTTGCCTTTTAAAATCTATCATTTACAAACCTGAATGCTCTTGCACTGTCATATCATCTGTCTGCGATGAAGTGATGAGATTGAGTGCTGCCACTGGCTCTCATCTGAATGTGGGAAACCACACTTTCTCAGGTTCTCCAAGTGTGCTTGTGGCAGTTTTCTGTATTGCATTTTAAAGATTTAAATCAGATCGAAGCACTGAGAAAAGTAAAATTACTAGAAACAGAGACACAGAAGACAGAGAGAGTGGGGCTTTAATTAAACAAATCTCATATATATATATATCCAAGACATATTTAATCTTTTTTTCTAGTAGAAGCATTCTGATGGGGGGAAAATAAGCGAGGTGGTGACTATTGTGTGAAAATTTATTAGCTTAACATCCATTTAGCCCAACTGGTCTTCAGGTCAGAACATTCATAGGGTTAGCTTTTTCTCCCTCCTCCCCCCCCCCCCAAGCAGATTTTGAAAAGTGTTTCCTCATTTCAACCAAGACAGCTAGCCAGGATAACCAACAAATCACGTGGAAAGACACAATTATCTTTCTGGTTTAAATTTCAAAACAGTTGTTGTTCTTCCCAACTTAGAATCACGAGAGAAAGATGAAATTGCAGCTTATGTACGTGTCTGCTAGGGTGTTTTATTCCACAGCTTTGCCACAGACTTGTGGTGTAACTTCAGGCAAGTCACACTTCTCGCTTGCTCATTCTGTAAATTATAGAAAACAAAGCTGCCTTACCTCGCAGGGCAAGGCGCGAAAGCCCAGTCCTACAGCTGACACATCATCGGAGCACTCCCTGCCCCTTCAGACTGTTCGTCTGATAAAGGCTTCAGTGTTGAGCCCTAATTCAGTGTTTCAAGCGGAGTTGTGAGATCCTCAGCTGAAAGACCCTTTGTAAAAAGCTCCGCTCCTAGTGAAAGGCATTATCATTTTCAATTTGAAAAGAACTGCATTTCTTGTTGCTCTTTCAAGCTACAAAATTCTTAAAATCTTTTTGTTTTGCTTCATTTTACATGCCCTAAATATCTGGATTCAGCTGTGTTACATGAATATACAGTCTTATTAATGTCAATGAACATAAGCTCTGAATTAGCTAAACATTTTCATTGCATAACACTTTGCACATACAATCAGTTCAACATTTAAAGAAATAGTTCTGTCCTTCAAAGTTTCAGTATTGCTCCAAAGTCCAGATCCAAACTGGGTCTTAATTTCCTGTAAAGCAATAATGAAACATAACCTCTAAACCAAGGATGTTGTTCCACTTACTGAGACATCGACACTCCAAACAGAAAATCTAAAAATACCTTATTTGGGGCCATGTCAATTTCAAAACACTCCACATCCATATGAAAGCAGTAAGTAGAAGAATTAGGCAATACTACAGCCTTCGCTAGCTAACACACACGCTTCCTGTACGCTGGCACAGATCTTCAGCTAAACAGGATTATGCCAGTTCACGTAAATCAAAGGAATTACATTGTTCTATACTGGTTGAGGACCTTGACATTAAGGACAGCCACCATACATATTTATGAACAACACTGTTCACATTAATGAGTACAGTCTTGAACATCCAGTGACATGAAAATTGGGAACAAGGAAAACCTTGCTGTTTGCAAACTTCTGTCATGAGCCAAAAAAAAGGGCTTCTAGCTCTGCCTCCCGCAATATAAGAACCAAAGCCGCAACTGACAAAATACCTCTGTTGCCACAGACAGCTTAGAAATCCCAAACACCTGCGCTCTTCTTCACCTGCAAGCAGTTAGTGGTGTGCTCCAGAGAAAACATTGTCTCTGCATCCTCTCATCTCCTTTGTACCCAGGAAGTACTGGAAAAACTGATGATACGAGCTGAAGCACCTGCAGCAAATGGATGGTATCCCATCTTATCTTTGTACTAACACAGTTTTCCAGGTATCTCAGAGCGTAGTTAAAGAGCTTACTTGCACACAGAAGACAGGATTAGATCCGGATCCAGGCAGGAGCCAAGGCAAATACGGCAAGAAGCAGAAAAGCCAGAAATTTAAGTTTGAAACCATACTTTGCACAGATGTGCAGAGCACGTTCCATCTCCTGTGCCAACGGTGAACTGCTCCACTGAACAGCTATTACTACAACTGCAGCTGCAGGCAAGATGCAGGGGAAAAAGGTGAGAGAATCGTGGGGCAAAGGGGCAGACTTGCTTTTTCTAGAAAATCATTCCTTATTGCTGACCCTCGCTTTCAACCTCTGTTTCTTTTTCTGCACGATTAGATATCCAAACCAGCTGAGTAGCAGAATTCACTCTTCTCTGTGTGGTGCTAACAGATTTGTCTCCTTCTTGTTAGACTTACAGTTTTAACTTGTGTTGCTTATGACAACACACATGTAGGAATGAAGCTGTAAACTTTGACAAAACTCTTTAAAAGCAGCAGAATTTGACTTGAGAACAATTTTTTAAGAAGAAATTAGCTTGAAATGCCCCCTACCACCCTATTTCTCACTGAATGTAGAACTTAGTATTTCTATTCCGTTGTATAAGCCCTTATGTGGGATTGTTCCTTTGCAGATGATCCTTTCTGCCCTCTGCAAGAT